CGCACAAATACAAGTTTTTTCGAGTGTTCATAAAAACAAGATAAAATTAATAATTACATATCACATTCTATAATGACTATATTCTTAACTGCATTTGTAAACATTACAGTAGACAAATGTCGATTTCAAATCGAAATAATGATATAAAAACGAAAAAAAAACTAAATGACTAAGTTTTAACTATTAAATGTAATTAAAAAATCCCGCGTCAAAAGCGGAACTACAATATCAACATAACCTTGAACAAGAGTACATTTGTCGTACAAAAAATGAGTTCAAGGAATTGGAGCGACAATGAAAAAAGGCTTCGTGTTTTAATAAATATATTATATCTCATATAGATGGTTGACAGCAAAGGGAAGGAAACATAAATACATGTCGTTTGTAAAGATTATAACAAAGAAGTAGGTAATTTGCGTGGGATTATAAAAAATTATTGATCTGATATTTTATAGAGTTAAGCCCGCAACACACATTCAGGTTAACTAACAGTTTAAATTTTACCTACACACTAATTTTACTTACTAATTTCACTAATTTTAAAATGCGAAAGCTTGGATGGATAGATATTTATTTGTAAAATGTATCTCCAGAACGGCTGCATGGATCTTGCTGAAATTTGACATAAATATAAAACAAATAAACTATTAATTAAGTTTTTTTATCTCCACGAACGGAGCGTGCGCGTGCGACAGCTAGTATGAAACAAAAACTGAAATGTGTTGCGGACATTAAATCAGAGCGAAAGGAACTTAACATTCCTTGAAACAAAGGAATTGATTTAAATGTCATAAGTCAAGTGTCAAAGTAACCGACAAAGTAATAATCATAAATGAATGGTGTAATATAGAGTACAAAGCCGACTGAGCGAACTTAATAAAATTAAATAAACCAGACCTAGTACAGAGATGTTTATTGGCTTAATTATAACGACTAATAATTAATAAGATTAATTATTTGAAAATATTAATTATTATAAGTATTTTTATGATTTTTTATGTAGCTTTGTTATCTTTAGCTTATAACAAAATTTCGTTTTCCAAAATTAAAAATACAAGTCGGATTGAATTTATGCAAGAGCTTAGTAAGCAAAAAAAACATATCTTTAATATTACAGAGATATAAAATCAGATACAAACAGCCTGTTTCACAATCTCCAAATAAGCTTTAAAATAAGGTACTTGGAACGAGAAAAAGAGTAGTGTGTGTCAGTTTTGAATATGCATTTACTTCCATTTTAATGTAAACTAAACAAATCTATAAACGAAGGCATATAATTTAAGAAACGCCTATGAAAAGGAAATTGCAAAAGCTCCGCAATATTAACTCGCGATATTAAAACTCTACTAAGTAACGTTTAGTTTATGAATATTAAAAGAACTGCAAAAAGCATTTTCGCATTAAATCTTGATATTCAACTCAGAAACTTAAACTTAAAATACTTATGTTCAAGAATATGAAACAGATGGTTCAAGGAACATTCCAGAGTTCATTCGCTGTCAATAGAGGATGAAAGAGTCGTGAGACATCTCGCTGTATGACACGATAATAACGAAACGCCTGAGAGAATCGCAATTGCAAAATGTGCTGTTGAGAAATTGCTACACGCGATGTGAGTGAAGCGTTATACAAATTACTATATGACAACAAAATAAGTCACAAATTGATTCATCTTTTAACGATTATTATAAGAAAAATAAACAGAATATGTTACCATTTTTTTTTCAAAAAATAGAACTATATTTGTATTCATTAAAAATTAGTTTGTCAAAAATAAATATCATTATTAATAATATTTTACATTACGAAATATATTTTTTTAATAATTTTATAACGTAACGATGTTTACCTACTTTCATTTTACTTGAACGTTTGTAGTTAAGTAACCCGAACAAAAGACATCAACGCGCTTCATCATTACTTAATTTACTGATTTCATAAATTCATTTTTAAAACTATGTGCTAAACGTAGCTATAACATGCATCATAAATTTTGATAATATTACTTACGATAATTATCACGAAAGAAAGAACTTAAGCCAAATTATTCTAGTATAAATTTAATATGATCCAAATTTTACGGTGAAGATTAAAGCCCGCTACACACATTAAGTTGAAACTGGATAGTTTTAGCTGAGTATTTTGACTGTAAATTTATAACCGAAGGTGTGTGTGCTGTCTTAATACACAAAAAATAATAACATTTTGTTTTTACCACTTACTTTCAAAATACAAACATTTCCTAATGTTCACTATGAAATCTACCGGCTAATCTATCACTACCGGCATAGTGCATTAAAACATGTTGTTATCTTTTTTACAATTGTAACACACAGTTGACTATTTTCATATTGACATGGATTTGACAGTTTGAATGCACGATCGTGTCTCGGGTGCGATACGCATGCGCGTGCGCAGTCGCGGTCGTTGCCCGCGCGTCACGGTTCAAGAGCGGCGCAAAGTGATCACGGGTAATCGCCCTTGCATAGCGATCGCATACCGTGATTAAGACGTCTTTGTTTCCTAGCTGATCCCTATCAGGAAATAAATGAATTTCCGATAAACTGTTGACATGAGCTTTAAAAATGTGGGAATAATTTTTTTAAATAATTTTCAACCTTATATAGCTAATAAAGCTCTTTAAGTTATGGTACATGAAAGCCCCATTCAATGTAAATGTGCAAAATTGTTTAGAGAACGGAATTGCAACTTTCACTCTGGTAGGATTGTACTGGACTTACTTAATCATAAAAGATTACTTCCACACTTATGGGTAATTAAGAAAATCCTTAGTGTTAATTTCTCTTACTAAGTGGGCTAATAACGACCAATTAACGACCTCAGTGTGGCAGGTAATTCATGCTCTAACATGTGTATCAGGGAACAGTTACCCATTCTAAGCGTAAAAGTATGATGGGTGTTTGAAACTAGATCATGTAGAACTGGACAGGAATTAGTTTAGCTGTCCAAAGGGGGAACGCTGCCAGTATCTTCGAGAACTTGCCTAAAGGGACTCCTTTTAATAACATATTTTAGTAAATTATTCGTTTCTTAATATTTTATTTTATATCATATATTTAAGACTATTCATTAGATTCTTTGTTAGTTTATTGTTAAAAATTTGTTATAAGAACTGGACTAAATTCATCAATAACATTGACATTTGACAATTAGCATTTCTATTTTGTGTTAACATCAGAAATTAATCCTAGCCAAAATGAATTAATGTAACGTTAAGAAATTATTAGTATTACATCAAACGATACAAACAACTTACCACTATAGATTATTTTTTTTAATTAAAAATATTTTTTTATTCTTCTAACATTAATTTTAAATTGTAATATATATTTTAAGCAATAACATTTACTAATTAATTCATTAATTTGAGATAAATTTAAAAAATAAATAAACTGAAGACGCGTGTGTATCTTACATAGGGAGACACTGAACTAAGAAACCCTACGCGGATGTATTACCTGAAGTTACCGGGAACATCAATTTACCTGTCTCTGCAGGCCACTGACATTTTTAAAACTATAACAATTTATAAAAAAAAAAAAAACTAGACGTTGACATTTATTAATTCCAATAAAATGACTTGTAAGTACCCAAGTACTCAGACATACCAATTTAAATTTTTTCATTAACGTGATATACATACATAAAGAAATGAAGTACGTGTCCGTTTGTTATAAAATAAATTGTTGTTTGGATTATTGGGGACATTATTTATATCACATAGAAAACATTGTCTAAAAATTGAATTTTTAATTTTTATAACAATAGACCGGACCAACCAAAGCGTACGCTTGAAAAACGGTTGATTCCCATTGGGCCGATGAACCTGTCATTCAATCGGTCCAATTGGGTTTTATTTCCCATTGGACCAATAGATACTAGTTTTAGAGTGGCGGTTGTCTACTTTAACACTTGTGACAGGAGCAATTTTGACGTTTGCGTTTGAAATAATTAAAGGAAAGTGTTCGTAATGTCTACTGTATAATTTACATTTGAATCTCTTTGTTTCAAATATATTATGGGCATGTAAAAAATGAGTGCATTTATTACTGATTCAAGTTCAAACATTTAAATTCCATTTTTACTAAATTATTGCTTTTAGCGTTATTGTGATTTGATTTAAGACTTCCGTTACTTTTTATCGCCACAGTCAGGCAATCGAACAAAATCCACGTTTAGCTAAGAATTACTTTGTTTAGTGTCCAAAACAATAACTTTTCCTTTTCCAAAGTAATTCCTAAAACATTTAGATATTAGCTATATATGGCTTGATTACATAATTATTTATATTACTTTGTATTAAGAATATGAACTTGAAATCATGTCGTCTACGTCTTCTGGCATATCGTACGTCAGTAATTTTTTTTCAATCTACTTATATTGAAAATGGATGGATGGTTTATGGTTAGAAGGCATCTCCGAAACGACTCAACCAATCTTGAAATTTCACACATATATAGAATGTAGTCTGGAAGAACACAAAGGCCACTTCTTAAGTTTTACCTAAATTATGCGCCGACGGAGTCACTGGCGACGGCTAGTTATGCCATATCTTTTTGTGAAATTATACTGAAAACGCTGACAGCCTTATTATTATAGTAGTATAATGGTAAGGAAACTACTTTAGGTAACAAATATAATAACTTTCAGTAGGTTTGCTTTTTCAGTACATTTTTATAATTTCATGTAACATTATAAAAAAGGGTGAAAATACTTTGATAGTCAACGGAACATATGAATTAAAGGTTTCCATTACACAATTACAGGAAAATATTAGAACGCAACCGCGTGTGAAACTAATGCGTGTAAGGAGCCGCCCAAATTACGACGTAACATTGATTCACTTCGAAAATGTACCATAGCAATCAAACTGGCGCCCATCGGCTGCCAAAAAGCGCGCACTTCCTGCATTCTTTCCGCCCTTGTCAGGCAAGTTTTCAAGAAACTTAACATACAGAATCCAGTCTTCTTGTTCTATATAGAGGTTGTAGGTGATGACGCGGTATTATAAAAACGGATTGAGACGAGATGAGGGCAATCAGTAGCTTACGAGGCATCTCGCAAGATGAGAGTTCTGGTCAGTCTTGTGTTCATTTGTTTGTGTGATTTTATTGTGATAAGTGATTTAAATTAAAGTGAATAAATCGCATGTTCTAACTATTAGGAAATTTAACTTAAAATATATATTTTTTAAATTAGGATTTTCTTTGAAAATTATTATAAATTATCGTATCGTTGTTTTCAAACTATTTGTGCTTAAAACTACATATTTAATTCACATTGACAAAAATAATATTAAAGTATAGATATTTTAAAATTCCTTCGTCCAATAGTCGAATTTCAGCATGTGATTAACATGTACATAAAATGTTATTTATGGATGACGGGAAAAACCGATATTCATAGTATTTTATGATTTATGATAAACCCTCTTATTAAACGACTATATTTATTTGCTTCTACCCAATATTGGTAGGGGGTAAACTAGGAAACGACTTTGTTTTCCTCTCCGTGTAATTACAATTCAAAACTTTGCAAATCATTCTTCAAACAGAATTACTTCACAGAACGAAGTCATGTTTCAAGTGATTTTTAATTGCATATATTAATTTTAATACGACACCTAACTTGCAGTTAACCTTCGAGCTATCGCGTTCTATAAATTACAATTGTAAATTCCTGATTGAAAAACGCTTGACGCACTTGTTTAGTTGAGTTTTGTTTTATTCCAGATATTGTCTGCCGCCGTCCTGGCTTGCGCGACTGGCGCGCCTTCTGGCGCATTTTTTGCGCCAATTGTACCTTTAGCTTATTCAGCCGTAGCTATCCCAGCTGCTGTGCCCACTATCCCTCCTGGTGATCTGCAAGCTGCCGCCATAGACGCACAGGTGCAGGTACAGGACCTTACAAGAGCCGCAACCGATCAGGCGAGAGAATTAACTGAACAAGCAGTTGAAAATCAAAATGAAGGTATCAATGAAGCCAACGACTTAGCGAGGGAAAGGGCTGAGGAAAATTTCTGGGCAGCTGAAGAGCAGAAATGGCAAGCTTTGGATGCTCAGAAAACCGCCGAAGCCCAAGTTGATGGCTCTATCGCCAGCGCAGCGGGTGATGTTGCTAAGGCGGCGTACACTGTACCAGCCGCTATTGTTGCCCAACCAGTTGTCCAAAGCGCCACCGTAGTGGCAGAGACAAAGAGCGCAGCCCCTGAAGAGGCTAAGGCAGAAGAACAAAAGGAAAAAGTTGAAAGCGAAGCTTCAGCTGCGGTCAAATCAGCGGATGCTGAAAGCAAGCCTGTTGAGAATGTAGCGAAATCTGAAGATTCTGTACAAGTTGAAGCAGCCAAAGTTGAAACTGCCGCAGCGGTGAAAGCTTCGGAAGCGATCAACGGAGCAAACAGTGGATTTGCTACTTTAACTCAAACACACCCATCGCCCGTGATCTCCGCTGCGTTTGTAGCCCAGCCTTGGCTGAACCCTGGCATTGCGCCAATCTCCTATGTTCCCGGTTTGAAATCATATGTTCCTTCTCTCATTACTAATTACAACGCACAACTCTTGAACCCAGGTTTCTATAAAGCCGTGTGGTAATAGTAATACATTTATAATTTAGCATTTATCATTGCTAATGACATAAATTGTAATTACGAGAGTGTCTTTAATTTCCTGGTAATAAAAGAATCGTGTTGATTTTGCCGCCTTCTTCCAAAAAATGTTCTATTTTCGTTTTTGCTAGTCATGTGCTAAATCTTGTCTAATGTATTCTTGTCCCTGTCAAATTTGATACCATCATATCAAATAAAACCCTCTAAAATAAGAACTGCTGTTTCATTTCACCTTGATAAGAAAGTATGCGAAACAACAAATTTAAAACCTTTTTAAACCTTGGTAAAGAAAATTCTAATGCGATAATCCGAGGTTATAAGCAACTTTTTATAAATCTACTTTACCATAAATTACCATAAAATTGATATAAACATTTTTTTTCTGTACGTATAAACATGTTTCAGGCTTTTTTCAAGTTATCTTGTAAAAGCTAAAGTGGGTGCTAAAAGTTTGTGTTATAAAATATTTTTTAATGATATTTTATGATCTAATAAAAGCGAGTACTAAGACATAATTTTTCAAAATACCTTTAAAGTGAGGGATGAAATTGTATGGAGGATTATTAATAAATCCTTTAAGCGGTAGAAGTCATGGAAGGCACATAGTTTCTAATAAAACTTTCCATTCTTACTACAACTTATGTTGCTCTTTGTTTTAGTTCATTTGCATTCGCCTTTTCTTTTAAAAGGAGTTTTTAGTAAGAAAACAAGCATGTTAATTACACACATAATTAAGATATATAGAATTCCTTAAAACATAAATGGAGTTGATTATATATGAAAAGAAAATTACTTTAAGTGTAGACATATGTCCTGTGTGCATAATAATAAATACAAAATCACTACCGTATGCAAATTACATCTACCTACATTATGCCTAAAGGATGTTTGTTATTTCCAAAGAAACACTAGCCTTTACCCTCTTCTCTACAAATGTTATAAGTATATAGCCTTGGTTTTAATGAGCTTTTGAGTTACTAAAAATCGTATTTAAATAGTTTAACTGTTTGAATAAATGTATTAACCACAATTAGTAACAAGTATACATACGAACCTAAACCAATTTTTTTTACTAACACGAAGTATCTTATCCCTAAAAACGTAACAATGAATTTGCAAAAAGTTTTTCAAATTCCAAAATAATTCGTGTAAATCAATTCTTGCTTACCTAAACTCTTACTAATATTATAATGCGAATGTTCTCCAGAACAGCTGCATGGATCTCGCTAAAATTTGGCATAGATGTAGAACAGATATTTTTTTTCATTTCGAGCGGACAGTGTCACGGGCGACAGCTAATATCCATATCCTTTGTTGTCCTTTAATACTATACAACGCAACAAAAGTGAATATAACTTTCCATTTCATATTTCGATATTCTGCTCACGAAGTACTCGAATCGGGGTGACCAGGACATGCGCGTGAAGCAAACACACACGATACGAATATCTCTGCTTTGGTATTAAGTTTGTTAACCTTTATTCGTAACATCTTCAGTTAATGATATCATTTGACCTCTTGTACATTTTAGGTAATTTGCTTATGTAACTGTGAAAATATTATACAAATACTGTTTCGATCTGTATTTGCTTCTCTATACAATAGTAGATGTACATAGAGTTATAAATATTGTATACAAGCGATCGCACGCGACTCCGTCAGCGCGGAATTAAAAAAACAATATTTATGCCAAATTAAAATGAGATCCGTTCAGCCGTTCTGAAGATACCTTTAAACAAAAATCCATCCATCCAAAGATTTGAATTTATAATATTAGTAAGATGCGAGAGCTGTACCAGGACTACATCAAATGGAAATGCGTCATCTCTACCTCCGCGTTACGGGCGTTGTGTTCTTAATAATATTATTGCATACTCAATTTCATTATAATTCTGCATGTTTTTCACTATGTTAAAGATTTAACGCTACAAATGAATTAATCATAAAGTCTGTAATTTGTAAGAAATATCTTAACAAAAGATTTCCAGTACGAGATATCGCTACAAAAAGCTGTAAGGCACGTGGGACGATAAATGTTCGCTATGCGGTCAGGCCGCATTTATCACGCCCTCTAACGGCTGATAACTATTACACTTCAATGCAGTTAGTGCAAGTTTGATCATAAATATTCGAAATAATGTTATACTCATGGAAGAAAGTATGGATGGATTATATGAAAGAGGACACATATGTGTAAGTAGGTTTTGAATTCAGATAGAGTTGTATGGAACTACATATAGTGAAACTTCGTATGGAAAAGTACATGACGACGATGATGAATATGTTTTCTAACAAAACAATTATACGATTCGTATTCGTGGGTAAGCACTGTCTAAATATTTCGAACATATTGTCTTCTCTCTCATTCTTTATGGAAAAAGAGAGATACCAATACGTTTTTGTATATCTATTCCGGCAGTGGAGACGCAAACACAACATTCTAAAGTTAATATAATATCAAGAAACGTTGGCGAAGGAGCATTATAAACTACTAGCAGTTGACCGCGACATCGTTCGCGTGAATTCAATAAAAAATCTAGTAATAACCTACACATAACTCGGGGATAGTGAAACATCCCAATAGTGAAAGAATTTTTGAAATTGTTCCATTACTTTCAGTGCCTATTCAGTACAAACTAATAATCAAATCTTTTATAACATTAATATATTTGTATGTATATTTAGTTCATAATACGCAAGTCACCGAAATAACAGTTAAAATATACGACTACAATAAAAATCCAATTATCAAAACCTATTTTCTATATTAGTTTCATGAATTAACGATAAAAATTCTAAGAATTCATACAATCACACATAAAACAAATTATAAGATCTTGTTACTATCAAGGTCGATTGCGAAACGGCTGATAATCATATTAGCCAGACAAGTTATGTGCTAAAATAAAATGTTTTAATTTAAAATATTGTATTGTTGAGTTGTTTGGTGGACGTTATTAAGTGCACTTGCCCTATAAAATTTATTTATAGATATAAAGATCAGTTGAAACAGGGCGTCTGAAAGAAACTTGTTTCATATATGGGCAATTACACAATTTCTTTCTCATTATTATCGCTTCAAGTAATTGTTATAACCAGTCAGAAATAATGAGACAATTTAAAGATAGGGTTGGGTATATTTAGTTGGTTGCTATGGTTATCTTAAAACAGTTTATTTAATTATTTACATTAAAATTTAAAAATAGAACAATGAAAATGTAGACATACAAAAATTGTCATTTTTCAGCCATAATTGCCGGATCTTTCTTTGCTTTATGTAGACATTTCTTACTTACTAATATTATAAATGCTAATGTTTGGATGGATGTTTGTTTAAAGGTATCTCCAGAACGGTTTAACGAATTACTATGAAATTTGGCATGGATGTATAAGATGAAGAACACATAGGCTACTTATTATGTTTTTTTTAAATAACGTGGAGGGAGTCGCAGGCGACAGCCAGTTGTAAATATAAATGTTGCCAACCCTATGCGTTACCACGTCTTATTTGTCACGTACGCATACGAGGACATTGATTTTATAATTAAATAATATATAGAGATTAAATTGCGATCGGAATGCAAGTAAGTATACGAAAGAGGGCGGCACTGGGACCGGTTGGAAGGTCGACTAGATGATGAAATAGACCGGGCACGTTGCAGGGATGTGGGCGATACCGAAAAATTGTAAAACTTTTTTTATTTATCTATAAAATTACATAACTTTCGACAGACGATAAAAATATTTACTTCGATGGCGAAGATTAATAGATAAAGAATAATTCATGCTATATTTGATGAGGAAGAAAAAGACTTAGACCAATATTGACTGGACTAAACTAGCACATACCGAATATGACTGAAATTAATTGTGTATGAGAAGAATCCTAACATCTACCTTTGCTTAAAATCATGTCTTATTTGAAAATGTAATAGACAATTAGTTAAAACATTAGTTTAATTTTTTAATAAATTTATCGTCCAAGAAAATTCAATGGAAATTTTCAAAGCACCTTTTCAATCTATGTTCAATTATATACAGATTGAAATATTCTACTATAAACAAATCACTCTTATTTAAAATAAACAAACCGTATCATTATCTGTCGTAGTTAAATTGCGTGGCCATTATTAAGAAACAATTTCTAGACTCTAACTAATTTATCGACTCATAAATTCCACAACGTTTTATTTTTCTTTATATTCTACTAGCTGTCGCCTGACTCCGTCCGCGTGAAATGAAAAAAAAACCTTAATTAGTTCCCGGCAATATTCGAACTTTTCTCACCTTTTAAACCTTTCCTAGACCTCCACATACATTTCAAGACCAAAATAAGATAAATGAGTTCACCCGTTCTCGAGTTTTATCGGGACTAACGAACAGCAATTGTACTTAATGTGTAGTATTAATTATATTTAAACGTACCATAAGATTCGCTGAAGACTTATTTGGCTAAAAAAAACCCTTTGCTTTTTCCTTCAAAAAGAGTTACTAAGTTTTAACCCAGAATTATATAAAGTCTCCTTTTCGCATAATTTACATAACATTGTTAAAAAAAAGACTATAAATTACTATAATTTATAACTACTTTGATGTAATTCGTAAACGAACAAATTGGCGACTTTCCTCATTTCCTTGCAACAGATGGTTACACGGCTCATTAGGTCGGTCCGATTCTTTATTCCATTAAATCGTAATCGACTCTATACAATTAAAATCAATATGTTCACGCTATTTATTTTTTTAATATATACTTTTAGACATTATTTGTTAGAATCCTTTGCCGCGAATTGCGCGCTTTCGTTACAAAGTCCGGTGTCAGAATGATCACAAACGGCGACATTAAGTAAGGCTAGTGTTGCGCCAGTACACCGGCAGAGTGTCGGATTTTCTTCCCAACAATACCTAAACAGGAGCTCAAAAGAGGTGAGGTCTCCGAAGGCCTTTATAGTAAATTTCCCCTGTGGTAAAAAAAAAACGGAAATTACATTAAAAAGTAAATATAATAAGACAAAGGGGTCTTATGATTATTTTTTCTTTTCTGAGTTTTTAGTAAAGCTTGATTATTGAATAAAGAACATCCATAACAAATAGTGGGCCTTTTTTTACACACCTTTATTGTGGGCAAAACTGCATTTTTTGAATTGCATAATTTCCTTTATTTGGATTCCGTATAGTTATTTTTTTAATCAAAGTAAAGAATCCTATGATT